TAATCTGCTAACTAGGCTCTGCCTTCAATTGCTTCTCTTTTCTGTTCCTCTCACACACCACCACCAGATTAATCTTTCAATACCAGCATTTTGAGCATGCCATTACCCATATTAGAATCCTTTGAGGGACTCCATTGTCTATCAAATCAATCAAGACTTTTAGTCTACCATTTATAGGTCTCCACATTCTGGGCCCTAACCTGCCTTTCCAACCTTATTTTTCTTAATGGCATCTACATTCTCTATTTCTGCCAAATGTTTCTACTTATTGTCCCTTAAAGTGCTATGTGTTCTTTCATTCCTGTCTTTACATCTTTCTCCCTACCATCCTCCCTATCTAGAATTCTTCGTATCCCTACCCTCTCTGCCCCGCATGTAAATTCTAAACTTACTTCAAAATGAGCTTGAGCCCCAGGTCTAACATGAAGCCTTTTGTAAGGCACCCCAGCCCACAGTGACATTTTTTTTGTGAGTTATGATTGCATTTACTATTGGGATCATTCACATAATGTTCTGCATTTTCATATAATGTTCTACAATGGATATGTTACAATATATTATATTTTTTGTCTTTGAACTCCTCACCTGGATTCTATGCTGCTTGAGGGTTGGAACCAGATTTTTACATCTTCCATATCATAGCCCTGGAGACTGGCAAAATATCTTGTATGTGTATGCTTGTATGCTTTCTACATATACTTGTTGATAGTGAATTCAGCAAACAAATTTGACATTTTGAAGTTCAATGATAGGATTTTTCAGCTTGACAGCACTATAAAACCAGAGACTATCAGAGTTGAAAAGGACCTTAGAAGTTGTTTAGTCTAACCCTATACTTTATAGATGAGAAAGAGTGAGGCTCAGAGAGGGAGCATAGGATCAAAGATTCAGAGCTAGAAGATACCTTGCAGTTTATGAAGCCCAAACTCTTCCTTTTATTGAAAGTAGTTTGTCTAAGATAGAGGTTCTTAATTTTTTTTTTCTATCATGGTCCCCTCTGGTAGTCCTGTGAATCCTATACATCTCTTCTCAGAATAATATTTATTACTTGCATTCATAATTGAAAGAATGTTAAATTTCAGTAAAAGTTTAATGAAAATTTAAAAAGTAATATTTTTTTTCCCATACAAGTTTACAGACCCTTGGAAAACTATCCTTTGACCCCTTAGGACTCCATAGACCTCAGGTTAAAAACACCTGGTCTAAGGTAATTTATCCAGTTGAGGCAGTGGGGTGTAGTATGCAGAAATCTGGCCTGAGGAGACCTGTGTTGCTGTCCCACCTCCAGATATATACTGGCTGTAATCCAGGCAAATTATTTAACCTTTTAGTTCCCCAAACAGCTTACTAAAATTGAATTGCAGAGAGGGTATGATTCCTTACCAGGAATTTGGGTTCCTCTGCACTGATGAAATCAGGTCACATAGGTCCTTCCCTATGTGCCTACCCCTTTACAGCTCCTCCTACCCACCCTACCCCCAGCTAGTGGCAGAAACAGAGCTAGAAGCCAGTCTAGTTCTTTTCAAGGTTTCTATCAGCCGACCAGATTTGAGATTTAAACAATTATATGGTGAAAGATAAATAAAAGATACATAAATTAAAATTATTCTGATCCTAAGGCTGTACTTTTCCTCTTTGCAGTTATAGTTGTTGTTGGGGGTAAGGGAAGGAGGAGCTCCTGAATTCTCACTATATTTGACTTTTTTCTTTTAGTTTTCTTTGTTTTGTACCTAATTAGACACATTCTAATAAATTGAACCAAAAAAAATCCCTCATCAGATGCCTTCATGAGAATATATTCCCTATCCATGAGCATGCCTTATTCCCCAAAAAAGTTTTTGTCTTTGTGAATGAAGAGTGCAGCCCAGTGCCACACCTAGTATACACTTAATAAATGCTTAGTGAATCAGATTGAATTTAGCCCAGTCTTATTGGAATTCACAGAGTTTATAATTCCATTTTGGGATTATGCCAGCCTCTTCTTTCTTTCCTTTTCCTTTGTGTAGTTTATGTCCTTCCCTATTCTTATTTCTTCCTTAGAAATGAACTTCACTAGAGAGAGGAGTTGAAGGCCAGCCCAGTCAATTAAGTCAGCTTTATGTTCTTAGCTTTTACTGTGTATTATTTTGGCTTGCTGCTGTATCGTTCAGCGTTCAGTAATTTTTCTTCTGTCATTTCCTAGCTGTGTATCTTGGCTCATGAACAATGCTTCTGATATATATGTATGTATGTATACATATATATGTGTATATATATATATATGTACAGTAAGCACTCAGTAAATGTTTGCTATCTAATTGCCAGTTCTGATTTTAAAAGGTAGTTTTTTAAATTAATGATTTATTTATGGTTGTGAAATGACCTGTAAAATTTTAGTTGTCCATTGCTATTAGTCTGTCTCCCAATTCAGCATCAAGTAATATCAAAATTAAAATTAGATCAGAATGTATGACTATTTCAGAGCAACTGAGGTTGTTAGCAATTTGTCCTGACTGTCAAAGTAGAGCCTCAGGCTTTGCTCATGCCTAGAGAAGGAAAGAGAAAACAACAAATAGAAAAAAAAAGCAGAAGAGAAATGTTATGAGTAGAAGAACTAGACAGGAGAGAAAGGCATAAAGAAAATAGGTAGAAAAAAGAGCAGCTTTATCTGATTGGCTGGGAATCCATGTGTGAAGGAACCCAACTAGTATTTAACCTGCTTTGAAAAATCTTGACTTCCAACATTTTTAATTAGTGGATTGCTCGCTTTTGAAAATGCCCAGTTGGGAATAGTCAAGTTTTGATGTATTTTAGCTGCCTGTTAATTAGCTGGCTGCTAGTTGACCGTCATCTTTACTTTTTCACGTGGGCAGAAGAGGCATATGAAGAACCCCTGTGAAGCTGCAGCCCTGATCTGTGCTAGACTTCAGAAATCGCAGGGCATATAGCAGAAATGGGGTCAGAAGCCCAATCCCAATTCTTCTTCCTCTTATTTTTCCTTTTTCTTTCAAACATCATTTCCTTTCAGTGTTTCCATTTATTATATAATTCTTCCCCCCCACCTCTTATCATTTGTTCATGTTTAACTAATACATTTTTTAAAAATGGAAAACAAATGATTCAACTAATGTGATAGAGCAAATCCTAAGAAGCAGATAATTCAAATTCAGTTTCCTTTTAACTTTTTTCTTTCATTTAACTTGAAGCTGGATTATGTTTAAGTAACATTGCTTTTTAACTGTACCTCTCATATAAGCTTACTTAGAGACATTAAGCTTACTTCATTTGTCCACATACTTCATTTTAGGACTAAATTATATTTAGATCCTTCAGCTGTGAGAATTGAGGAGAATAGATTCTTAAGAACTTGTAGTGGAAGAAGGATGTCATTATTTATACGTTTTCTATTTAAAATATTTGATTTCTGCTTATGAATTAGGATGTCTTCGTAGGATACACATTTCACTAGTGTCGAAATCCCAGAGGCATGAAAAAATCATTTCACAGAATACTTCAGCAAAGCACAAATACTGTGAGCCAGTTGTTGGGGTTTTTAAAGGCACATTTAGAGAAGGTTGTGTCTTCTCACAGACCTTGATGCAATCTCAGGAGTTTTCTTGACCTGCCTCGAAGCATACAGTGCACTGATTTTGACTGTCCATGGGGGACATCTCTTTGCAGTTGGGATATCTTTTGAAGTGACAAGACTCCTTCTTCTCAACTGTATAACTAAAAAGGAGCTTAAAAAAACAAACAGATAATTCAAGCTCAGTCCTAACAATGAATCATTGTTGTTCAATTCTTAAGATATACTGAAACACCTTCTACCTTGTACTCTATAAATAAATCAATTAATTATATCATGATGATCACTGCTGCTGATAATAAAATAAAAGCAATAAAAAAAATGGTGGTAGTAGCATTAAAGGAATAAACAGTATCATTAAAATGTTAGGAAACAATAAATGGTATTATGTCTATAAGACCAAATTTCACACCTCCTCCTCGATTCTATCATAGGAAGTTTTTGATGACCGTCTGTTATCTTCCATGAAGTCATAATTCATAGCATAGCAATAAAACCTTTTATTACAAAGGATATTTATTCAAAGAAATTTGAGACAATTTCTCATATTAACTAAATCTTCTAATGTTTATGTGCTTTAAATAACATATGGCTTTTTAACTATATCTCACGCATTTCAGGTCTAGCAGTTGAGGCATTAAGCTTCCTTCATTTATCCAGTAATGTTACTTAATTGGTGATAGAAGTTAGAGTAATTTTGTTGTTTGTGGCTCTCCTTTGGCTTGATCACAGTCTACCTCATATCATACTTACGAATATATGTATTGTATTCCCCATGACAGGACTATAAGCTCCTAGAGGCCAAAGACTTTGTATTGTTTTATCTTTGTGTCCCTAATACCTTATAAATGCCAAGTGTTTAATAAAATGTTTGTTTAATTTCTCTACTCCTTTTGGGAGAAAAGTAAAAGAAAATATTTATTAAGGCCTAGTGAAGGTATGGCATTATTTTCCTCTCCATTTGATGACACATACTTGGTCCTCAGGTAAAAGGCAAGAAGTATCTTTAGACATTGAAGAAAGGATGTAGCCAATTTATTTATACTTATTTAGGTGTTTTTCTCTTTATATCAGCTCCTTTTTTTCATTGAAGATAGAAGGAAAGTTTAAGAAGATTATTTGGTTATAGATTCTGATAAAATTTTAAGAATAGTTATGATAACAAAAAAATTGAGGCTCATAAAACACTGAAGGGTGGATATAATTTTTTATGTTCAAACCTCTGGTTCCTGAGGGTCCAGTTCATTTCTGCTGTGAATTTAAATGAGTTAATTTAAGTACTTGGGTCAGAAGCCACTATCATCGTGGTAGCCCTGTGCCTGATTCTTAATTAAAGGCAACAGGAGATTAATTTGAAACATTAATTTAAAAGTGCATATACAAAAAGAAAGAATTATTGCAATAAAGCCTAAAGAACTTTTTTTCTTGTCCCTAGATGTAGAAGACAGAACTAGCTCAGGGTCCTGGGGGAATGGAGGACATCCAAGTCCATCCAGGGTAAGTATATCTAATCTTTTTTTCTCATGACCAGACAGCCTGCATATGTAAATTGACAAACGTAATGTGAGTTTCATACACCTGATTTCATAGAAATACATGCATACTAAGTTGGTAGCAGATCAGCTTGTCCTTAGAATTGCTTTTCCCCCCTTTACTGTCTTATCTGATCCTGTTACTGTGTTTGACACATACCTGCTTTCCCTGACCAGAAGCATTATTTAAAAATGGATCCTATACAGGGGGAAATTATAAATGGTAGGCTGGGCAACTTAGAAACGGGGACAAAAAAAATGGCTATAGAGCTTATGACTAGTGTATACATGAGTCTGAGAAGTGATTTTAGAGAAGCGAATTTTACTTCAAAAATATACTACTACTATTTCACCCCTAGTGTCCTTGATTACAATTGGGCACATGGACACATTCAAATTATACTTTTTCTTTGCTTCTGAGTTTTATGCTGCCTTCTTTCATTGTTTGTTTTTTCTTATTATTTGTCCATTTGTAGCCGTGGTTTAGTGGAAAAGACCTTTAGATGGTGGGTTAGGGCATGCACATTTCAGGTGACTGACCTTGGAAAATACACTTAATTATCTGAGCCTGAGTTTCTTAATTGTAAAATGAGAGAGGTGTAATAGATGATATCTGAGGTCCCTTTCAGCTTCAATATTTAGCGATATCAGCATACAGCCAAGCTTCACTGGATCAAATGCCCAATTACCTATCCTCACAAAAACAAAAACAAAAAATTAAAACTCCTATAGCATATTTCATCATATTTTATATGTGTCAGTGTGTGAGAATTTGTATACATGTGTGTATATGTGGTCTGAATAAGATAAACCAAAGCTATCAGCTTACAAGAAAAAAACAACTAAACTAAACTAAAGCTGAGGTGTATTTATTTACATGTAATTTGCTTTAGGGGACCTATGTTGGGAAAGGTCTTTATTTTGGTGTCAGAGGCATGTTAAGAAGTCAAATTGTCAAAATCAGAATATTTCTGAGCACTGTGGGTCCATATATTTCCACCTGTCCTTTGGCACTGTCATCCTAACTTTAGTCTTTAAAATATTACAGTATCTTTATACTTACCAATCACTTTGTTGAGACCTTGCACCAGCTGTCGAGTTTGATATTCTAATGCGTTATGTGGATGAGCTGAGGAAGTTTTTCCTCCTCCTCATGTTACAGTCTTCACTCAAAGAAGGAAATTCATTCCTCTCAACAGTAAGTGTAGGAGATTATTGCATTTCTCATGTTCATGAGGGTGATTCAGATTTATTGGATTTCTTGTGGTTTTACCTTGTCTGTATTACAACAATTTCGTTCATCTCTCTGAAAAATGAACAGGTTAAAACTATATGAACTTTCATAGTTTGTTTCCTTCAACTCCCCTGAAACTAATCTAAAGATATCTCAGTGAACAATTTTGAATCTGTCATACTGTTATTTGTATTTTCTTGTTTGCAAAATCCAAGATTCTCATTTGTGCCAGTTTAAATCAAGGAATATTTTTGCACATGGACAGATTTGTAGAGTTAAATTTTAGAATTTCACTGCTCTCTAATTTCTTGTGATAAATGGAAAACATGGGAGATTTAAAGCATTTTTGCCAGACCTTAGCAGACAAGTGTAGCCTTTCACCAAAGGCTGTATCTTTTCTCCTGGGGGGCAGACTCTGCCTTTTGGCTAACATAGTTGGTGATACATTTTGATAAAAGTTGAAGAGCAGTTATATGTTTAAAACACTGAGGCTTATAGAACATTGAAGGGTGTAGACTGACACCTCTAAGTAAATTTAATTTCGACATCTCTGAAGGCTGCAGAGCCAGCTGAACAGGAGGATTTTTTTTTCTGGTCACTTTAGCATTATATCAAGATGGATCAAATGTTTTGATAAAAGAAAATAAAATCTGCTTTCTCCTCCCCCATCCCCAGATATTGGGATCTGCACATTTAAATTAAGTGAACCATCAGAGTGAAGTGTATTTTCTTTGATATATTGCCATTAAAATAAAGAGGAAAAGAGCAGCCTTTGAGAATGTCCCCAAATATATCTACTTTACAATCCATGTGCTTGTATGCCATGTGCACTATCAGTACTACTGAAATGTGCTGATGTCCTGATGTTCCTTGAAACCACATGTAAGTTACTTATGACATGAAAACCTAAGAGAGATGTCAAGAGACTCTGGTACTAGATATTGTTTCATAAAATAAATTCATCTTGTAACCTTTCTAAATAATCACTTGACTTACTGTACCTAAAGCCTTTAAAAGAAAAAAATAAACAAACCAAACCCTTTTTGCCTGTAACACTTTCATACTACAATCTGAACTGCTAATAGTGAAAGTGGGTGAAAATGAGGTTTCCTAACTTTATTTTGATTTGTTATCTGGAGACAGTTTTAAGGATGGACATTAATAATAACATTTTTAAAATTCCAAGTCCCTTTTTTATGACCATGCCCATTTTATAGGTAATAAAACTGAGTAAATTGTTACAGCTATATAGCTATTAGGTGAGACCTGGAATCTTTTGACTGCAGGTTGAGTGTTAATTTCTGCTATATACAAATATTTCTTTTCTGCTTATGTGCATGCTTATAACTAAATCTTTTAACTTATATTCTTATTTTATTAACAGAACTATGGAGATGGGACCCACTATGAACACATGACCAGCAGGGACCTTGGATCACATGACAATCTTTCTCCTCCTTTTGTCAATTCCAGAATACAAAGTAAGTAGATATGTTTTGAAAACTATATATTCTTTTCTGAATACTTATGTTTTATTTACTTAAAAAACATGTACACAATGTTGTGGTATTAGGGGCCTTGCAATTTATTTTATACAACTTGGTATCTTAATTGACTAATCTTCTACATTTGGTACCAGCTTGTGTGTGTGTAACATTTTCTTATACATGAAAAATTACGGAATTCTTAAATATATATGTATCTTTATATATATATATATATATATATATATGTGTGTGTGTGTGTGTGTGTGTGTGTAATCACATATTATATGTATATATATACATATATATATATACATATATATATATGTATATATATATGTGTGTGTATATATATATATATATATATATATATATATATATATATATATATATATATATATATATATATATATAGGTAAGTTAAGGACTATATTTACACCAAATCTTCCCAAAATCCTCCATTTAAATAATGAGATATTGGCAAGTAGTAGCAATAGTGCAGCAGAAGTCCAGAAAGTTAAAAGTGGAAGAAGCTAAAATGTTAAGATCAAATTTTCTTTTTTCATTATCTTGAACTCTTTATTGGTAGAAGAATATTAGCTACTCACTTTGCATATGGACAATATCACTTGGGAATTTTCAACACAGAGGCTAAGAAAATAACACATGGGTTTACAAGACTTTAAATGACCAATATTTTCCTAGCAAACTGTCAGAATATGGATGTGTAACTGTCAAGTCCTTGACCTGAGACCTAAAGACCTGGGCCAGCTGTATTCTGTTTTACTGAAATCAAGTTAGATACCGATTGAGATGCAGGGCCAAACACCAATATGCCCTTCATTGTGGAGTCCTTTGTATATTCTTTGTTCTTTTGAACATATCATGGAGATGTTAGCTTAGTGACAGCAGCCTTAGCAATGAAAATATCACTTTATAGGTCCCTCTATCTGTTTATCTTAGTTATGAGTGATAAATGATCTTTGTTAAATAAACATGCAATTAAAATATTAGGGGTCTCTCATCATGTCTATGCTTCCTTTGAATTGATCAGTAAATTAAGTGAAATCCCTTGGTTCAAGTTGTTGTCCCATCCTACAAAGAATACACAACCAGGACTGTGTTCTCTAATGCCAATGCCTCCAAAATATGCCCTGATTTTTAAAAAGACTGGGAACATGCATTGGTTGCTTAACTCATGGATTAGCCTTTCATTTAAAAGTAATGTTATATATCATCACCAAACCCATTAAAGGAATTTGAGGTGTTAGACTCAAAGCCAACATAAGCAGAGAAATGCTAACATTTCCATTTTAACTCGTGACATCGATGTTAGTGTTTAAAAGTGACATTGGGGCCCTATATTTGATCCCCAGCAGGATATTTTTAATTATAAGATATCTGAACATATATGAGATATTGTTACTTTTAAATGATAATTTATTAGTTTATATTTCATTATATAAGGTATAAGTTCAGAGAATCTCTGATTTCCAAGGACATATTTGTCCAATTAGATTTTTAAAAAGAAATGTAGTTTCTTCAGTTATAATAACCACAACAAAAATTTTAATTCTGAGAACTCATGTACTTCAACCTAAATATAGCAGAGGATAAAAATTTGAAAATAATAGCCCATACATGTTAGAGGCTGAGCCATGAGCCAGTCTAGAATAAGCTTCCCTAAGGGGTTCTAAAACTATCCTCTGATGATCTAAAATAATTCAAATTGATTAAATGGATATTTATTTTCTTTAGAGGGATGTATTAACATAAGAGAAAAATAAAGTGGCTTAGTACCAATAGTACCAATAACTTAATAAATTAATATAACAACATACAAAGTAATGCATACATATTAAATAATAATACTGTGGTATATTTCCTAAGGGAGAAAATATTCAAAAGACCAGATTGCTTTTTCAATCTGAACAGTATTTAAAATTTAAGTTAGCTAGAGCCCAGGGCTTACTCCTTTCAGTTTGTTGTTGTTTAAGCTGAAAATCCATGTCAGCCAACCTCTTTTATCCTGTCTGCCCTCCTTCCCATTAAACTCTTAAATATGGAGGCCAAGACAGTCTACTGCATTGTGATAGGAAATGCAACGATGTCCACGAGTCTCCCACCCACTGCTTTTAATGAAAGAACTGCTCTGTCAGATAAGCTGTCTGGTCTGAAACATGGCTCTTTATTGTTTACAAACTGCTACATTTTCCACCTCTAGCAGATTCTTGCACAGAAAGGAATTGTGTTTGAACTAAATGGTTTATCTGACATTAATGGTACAGTGTCAGACTTGGGTCAGGGCAGTCACCCTTGGAGTTGGGAGGGCACTGAGCAATTGACTATCAAAAATTTTTTTTGTTAAAGAAGAAACAGAGACAACAATTATATAAATTAAAAGGAAAAAAGCAGTTTTTAAGGTCTAGTTAAACACCCTGCTAAAGATTTTCTGATCCACCAGTGTCAACTTCAGGGCTTAGTTAGAATTTATTTATGATGTTTTTTAATGGTATTGCCTAAGCTTGCCTTCATTCAGAATGAATTTTTTTTCAGGTTTACCTACTTTCACATTTTCTTATGCTCTTTTTATAGAAGAAGATAGTTTTCAAAAAATTAAGGGTAATTCATTTTCAGATGATGAGTCAAGATTGTACAAAAGAAGTCCGACTGTCTAGCTTAGCAATTTGAACTGAATAGCCAATATGTATATATACACACACACAGACACACACGTGCAATGCGTGCAATTGTGTGCACAATATCACTGTTATTTGGGTCCATACTGATATTCCAAATTATTGCCTGAGTTTTCTATGTGTAAGAAAAAGTGGTGACTTCCTTAGGTTTCTGAAAGAGAGCCAACATCCACTCTCAGAATCAGTAACTGGTTCTCATTAAAACTACAAAGGATTTCTTTACATTTCAAAGACTTAATTCTCCCATGATTTCACACTGGGGCAAGAGCTATAGAATCAGAAATAAATCAGCTATTTTATTGGATCAGATTTGTGATTGTCAAATCAATCAAGGCTAAGACTGAATTAGGCATCTACCACAAAAATAAATAACACTAATTTTACAGGAAGGAGTTATTAGCTGTAGATGACCTGATTTTTATTTTAAAGTGAGCTGTTGATTCTGTGAAGTTTTCTTTTTACGACCAGAAAAAAAAAAGTACTGAGCCACTTTCTGATTTTTCTTTTGGGAGTGAATATTTGTCATTTATGACAAAACCATCTTGTATGGAACTAGACCTGGTATTTATGGGAATAAACTACATAGCCAGGGACACTACACCTTAATTAAAATCGAAATATAGTAATGCCCATTTATTATAATCTTGGTCCTTTGGGAAGTTTGTGAGATTTGTATTAATATTATGTATTCATATGTTAGAATATACTCTTATATAATACATACTACAAAACAGTATGAAAATTGTAACCTTACTAGTATTACTGCAAAAAGACATACTGTCAAGTGGCTGATATTTATATATCTCTTGATTGAAAAAAAAATTCCTTAAACCAAAACACTAAAGCAAACAAAACCCTTTTATTCTTGAAAAATAAAGTGAGTTTCTTGATTTCAGGGATTTCATCAGGAAGAAAAGCAAACTTCTCTCTGGCACTTTTGCATATGTGTCCACAATATTGGGAAATTTAAGATCGTGATCATCATGTCAGATTCTTTAGAAGTAGCAAAACATGCACCCTAAAAATGTAAATAAATGCCACGGCAATCCAGATGGTTCTGTCCAGATTGACTTCATTTAGTAGGCACTTTATATCCAGTGTTTACTGAATAAACTTCTTCCATGCAGGCACATATGGCCAGTCTGAGTAGTATATTACTCCCAACCTATTTTGTCACTGAAGAATCATTTTTGGTATGGAAAAATAATGCCACTTTATTATGACTGGATGATATAATTCCTGAAAATGCACACAATTCAAATAAATGAATCAACCATTTTTTCTGTCCCTGCCATGTGAAAAGTACTGTCCTTGCTTTGGGTACTCCAAAGATATAAAAACAATTTTTAAAAAAAGAGCTTATAATCTAATGGGAGAGATATTACATGCATACAAGTAAGGATGAATCTAGAAAGAATGTATTAAGGACAACAAAGAGAGAGAGATACCAAGTGCTTGAAGAACATTTGAGATGGGAGAAGTCACTAACCTTGGTACACACACATTGACATTTTTAATATATAGACCAAGCACTGAGTGGTAAGCAGTATATTTCTTTTGGAATATGCCAAAAGATATGGGGCTATGGCTCTGACTCCTCTGTGCTTTTAGGAGACTCTTTATCTGGACAGGATTCATTTAAGTGAGCAACAAAAACACCAGGCAAGGATTACCCAAATTTTAGAGTTTTTGTTTTCAGCCAGTAATAATGTACTGCAGGGAATTATTGAAGGACATTTTACTACTGTAGAAAAATAATTTCCCTACTAAAATGTGTTTATCCATTTAAGGATCTAAGGTGGGGTATATCTTCTATTTCCCCAGTGCTTTAATTGACTCTTAGATTTGTTAGAGGAAAAATGATCAGATAGTATACTTGGTTTGGTAAATGAAGGGCAAACGGTGATATGTGGACATATTTGGGTGCAACAGGCTAGCTCTTTCCTTATCAACTTCTTTATTGTCAAGAACTTCCTTGTGAAATTGTTCATTTTCCTTAATATGGTAAATGGTTCTAGTCCTACCTATATGAGACTCTACCAGAACACTAACTTATTTTTCGACAAAGAGTAACTTGTTCCTAAAACCCAACCATCCTCATGGAATATTTCAATGCAAAGATTCTCTTGAGGTTTTCAGGCAGTGCTGAAGAGAGCTGCTGGCTTATTGAATGACCTTTGAATCTCATCTGGGTTAGTGGTTGATATTTTGATTTGGTTACTGTGGTCATATTGTGACAGCTGTTGATTCATTATAATTCAGTTCCACTCTTCAGTTTGCCTAGCAGGAATATTTCGG